TAGAAATTTGTTATGTTTGATATAAAAAGATTGACAGAATCCTTACTGTTTAATACTGAGAAATCCCATTTTTGATGCCTTTTCATTTGATATAAAATTTGTCATTAATCCTATTTAAAATCACAGCATTACCCCATAGAAAACCATTTTTATGCATCCTGTTTCTTGAGATTTATTATGTTTGATATAAAAAGTTTTGTAGAACTCTTACCATTTAATACTAATAAATCCCATTTTTGATCTGCTTTCGTTTGGTATAAAATTTGTTATTGACTCTATTTAAAATCACAGTGTTACGCCCTAGAAAAATATTTTTACCTATCCTGTACAGAGGCTGTCAAAATTATTCATTCACATATATTTTCCATTTTTCTCGTGAAATCTTACACTTTGAAAAAGATCAAAATAGTGATTCTGAAAGTCCGCAAAATTCTCTATTGCAGGGATTCTGTCTTATAGAGTGTGAGTGTCGTATGGGTGGGTATGTGGGTGTGGGTGGGAGTGTGGGTACAGGTGTGGGTGTGTGTGGATGTGTATGAGTCTTCCCTATGCCAACACTCACACCGACAACAGCATCCACACATAGGTTATCGGCAAAAACTACAAGATGTTGAATGTTTTAATCAAATGATAATTAAAGCTCATGTTAATTACATGTAGCAATTGTAGCCTGATAAACATATTTTGAGATGGTGTAAACTATGAGGAAGAAAAAGTATGGAAATTGGTAGATATGTCATGCAATCTTTTTCAAAATGATGCTCGAACGTTTTATATAGTATGAAAAGTTTAGGTAACAATTTGAAGTGAAGAAAGTGTATGACTAGTAGTTGAAGGCTGCATAATATTTTGAACCTTCTTAGATTGTCCTTTTGAAATAAAAATTGAATGTTTTTTTTTTAATTTAAAATCAATCTAAAAAGACAAATGATTGGAGAAATTGTGTCAAATAAATACAATAAAAGAAAAAAATCATTCATGCGTGTATGTTCTCTTTCCTATCTTCACTTTATTAGTTTTTTAATAGATGCACTACCATTTTCATAATGGTCTCGCATGGCCAATATAGTCATCGAACTGTTTCATTTTTGCGTAAAATTTCGTTTTCTAAATCATTTTATTTTTGTCTTGTTTCTTGTTGATCTTGTATTGTTTTATTTACTCTTCGCGTCACCAAGACTGAAGTCTATCAGTGTGAATCAACATTATTCATACTATGTTTGTACTCAAATTTATAATGAATCTGAACATTATTTGATTGATTGGCTTGATCATCAGTTCAATGTTGTTGGTTTTAAAAATGTTTGTTTGATCAATGTTGGTAAACCATTGTCAACATCTCTTCGAAAACAATTTCCAATTGCTTATATTGAAAAACCAAATCATTTTCAAGAATTTCATTATTGTCTTTCATCATGTTTTGTGGATAAACCAATGCATCCAGAAGATTTACTGATGATTCAAGATATTGATGAATATCTTAATGTGAGAAAACCTGATATAATATTGAAGAATTATTATAAATACGATCAATTTCATTTTAATGAGATTCGTTATGGTAATCTAAATGTGTTCTTTTTTTTTATGAATTATATTTTCTTTAGGTTATGTCCTAGATACAAATAACGAAATGCTCAATCGTTCATTACGTACCACTAATTTATGGCGCAAGCCACATCGCTATCTTGGTGAATATGAGGAAAAGGATTTACGAGATTTGTTCAAATGCAAATCCTATGGGGGTTGGCCATCATGTGAAGAAGGTAATGGTAAAGAAATGATCCGTGTTGCAACCATTCAATCATTGTCTGTCCATTTTCACACGAGTAAACTTCAACCAGATCGAAGATACTATGTGGATATGAAGGAAATTCGTCTAAATCATTATATAATGAGAACTAAAGAAGATGCTATACTATCTGCTAAAAAATGGAATAAACTTGGATCACGTCGTGGTCAAATGGCTGTAAATCGATGGTTTCGAATGATATTCGATGATTCAATTATAGAATCAAAAAGACTTATTTGAAACATCTCACTTTGATTTCTTTTTCCTAAATAGTTGTTTAATAATTTATTTTAATCTATTCGAAATTCTATTTATTTAACGAGTGCAGCAAAATAAATGATCCTCTCAGTATATTTTTTCATATCTCAACATGTTCTCGATATTTCAAAATAAACCTTTTTAGCAAAAGATCCAGCTTTGAATTTTCTACAAAACTGTATATTTTTCTTAATCAAAATATACTTCATAGATTTTTGACATGCAACACAAACAATGAGTATAATATATGCAATTTTCTAGCTGACTCTTTTTGTGAAGCTGTCTTAGTAAATTTATTGATCGCCGGAATAATACTATTTTTTATTTTAATTTGTTTCTATTTGTTATCTGGAAATTTTTATTGAAACTGAATAGTCTAACTAATTTGTATATTGATTTTTCCAAACGCAATGATTCTTATGGACATGAGGCAGAAGACTGTCGTCATATCATCATTGAGTTGAACGATGGGTATGGGTGTGAAGAAAAGCCTCAGGCTACACCCACTCTCAGAACCTCATCCAACATACAAAAATTGAATTTTTTATATCAGCTTCGTGTAAGCATTCTATTAACTTTTCGAACTCTTGCTTCATGACTTACCATGTTAGCTATAACACGAAAGCGTTCAGCATTGAAAAGTTAACCGCTTAGGCCCCCTTCTCCCTCTCCCTCAAAAATCGATTTTCCCATCAAGACAAGACAAGCGGGCTGAAATTCTCAGGATATGTTGCGGCTATAGTAGGAAGGCTATGGTAAAATTTTTAGCTCGATACCATGATGTCTGACAGAGATATGAGCCAAACAAAGATCGAAAAACAGCTCATTTTCTGCCCAAGATTTCTTGGTCCAGGCTCGTGCTACATGTTTAAATTTTTTTTTTTGTTAGAAAGAACATGTCAAGATGCAGAGCATTACAGAGCTCTTTTTTAAATTCTTACTTTTTTAGCGAAGAAAAGGACTCACAAGTTCAATGACTCAAAAAAATGGATGTCGAGTTACATAAATGTCTGTATATATAATAAAAATAAAACTTAATTTAAAAAAAGGATCCTGTAGTGATCTGCATCTTGACATGCTGTTTCAAACAAAAAAAAATTTTTAAAGTGTTGAAAGAGTCTGGACCGAGAAATTTTGGACAGAAGATCAAAAAATTCATAAATCGAGAAAAAATAAAAAAGATTTTTTGGTTGTTCAAAAAACTGCTGGTTTTTCGAAAAGAGGTTCTCAGAAATCTTGAAAATTTTGGGGAAAAAGTGAGGTATCGAAGAAAAACTTTTATTGTTTATGAAAAAGCAAATGATAGACTGTCTTCCCATGCATTTATCTCAATTTCGAGAATTCTGACGAAAATTGACATGTTTTGAGGGGACGAGGTCTTAAAAAAAAATCAAAATAAATATGAAGTCTATTGAAAAATTAATGAATAATTCTTGTAATTGAAACATGATTTTTGTTTTGTTTGACATTTGGCAAAACAGTTATTCATACACAGGTTGTGGGGTGCCAATGTCTAGTCTTACTTTTGATTAATAAGCATGTCCTTCAATAATACTAAAATGTAGTCGGTAAAAAAACAACTTTCAATGATTATGGCAACAAGAAGTAATATTTCAGTATTCTTCATATATTTTCTATGCTTTCTATTACATTCTGTTGTTATCTGTGGATGTGGATGTAGACGTGGATATGGTTTTGTTATTCTCTGTAAGTTTTGTATTTTAGCTTGAACATGAGTTAAGTTTATTCAATAACGCCAACCACATATACATAGAGAAGGATAGATCAAGTAAAAAGAGAACAACAAGAAGAGAGAAGAACAACAACATATATGTATATATATATATAGACGCATACAAGAGAAAACGGAAAAAATTGAAAGTAGTATGTGCGAAAACATAAAGAAAAAACCAAGATATGAAACAACTTAGTTCATACAGAAAATTTTCATATGAAATGTACCGACACATATTGGACGAATTCTTACCATTTTTGAGCAAGAAAACACAACATAAGTTCGATAACCAGTACAGATACAATAAATCCAGTCCATCCAATACTGAGCATTACTTTACCAGTTACATAGTTATCATGCTCCCATATTAATAATTTATCATTGTTTCGGCTATAAAAACATGTGTAGACATTGGCAACCTAAGTAGAACAAAATAAAAATAAGAATTAGATGATTTTAGAAGAGCGAACCACGACCGGTTTCGACCTTGCTCAAGGATCTC